AGATCAATGTGACATCAGCATTGGTTTCTGGTAAACCCTCTCTTCCTAGTTGTAGTTGGTCAACTTCTTTTTGTGTCCTCACATGATCTTTCCTCTGTGCGCGTGCTTTCCTGGTATTTGTTCCTCTTTTTCTAAGAACACAAGTCCTACTGGGCTAGGCCTCTGCCCTGTGCCCTTTGCCTCTGTAAGTGCTCATCTCCAAATACAATCATATTGAAGATTAAGACTCCAACCTATGGATGTTGAGGGGGCATAGTTCAGTCCATAATTCAGGCTTACATATTTCTATTGCTCTCAGGACAGAATAAAACCCTTTATACTGTTGACACACCCTGCATGATCTAGCCTTTGCCTGTTCTCTAGTCTCATTTGACCAGCTTCCCCTTTTCCTATTACTTCTCAGTTCCTCACACATGCAGGCTTCTTGCTCCTCCAGGACCTCAGTCCATGCTGCTGCTTCTGCCCTAGATGTTTGTTCCCTTTTACACTTTCCCCCACCCCATAAGCCTGCACAATGCTTATTTGTTCCTTGGGATTTAGGAAGTTTCCCTTGACCCTGACCCAGGACAGAGTTTTCACTTAGATTTTTTTTCTGTGCATGCTTTCTTTCTCCTGCAATACCAAATACCACAGTAATGAAATATCTAACTCTATAATTACTTGCTTAAAGCTTCTTTCCCTCCCATGGAAAAAGAATCAGGAGAATAGAAACCATGCATGTTATTATGTTCACTTCTATATCCCTGGAACCTAGCACAATGCTCTGGACACAGCAGGTGCTTAAAATACACTCATTGAAAGAATTCACAAAGGTTTAAGGTAGATTCTTTACAACACTTTTAGATGAAGAGAAGAACCAGTAGCCACCAATAATTTAAAAATCTACCCCTCTGTGAACACTTTCTAGCCAGGAAATCTAGGGACATGGAAATTATGTCATCCTTATCTATTTTGGAAATTGCAAAAAGACTCTACTAGCACAATGGTGACTGGTAAAGTTACACCTCTGCCCAAATTGCTCAATCATGGGAAATTGTTGTCAAAGATGTCTGAAACAAGCCCTCCCACACTTCTCTGCAATGAGTCTTTGCTTCTCCTTCCAACAAGAGAGGCATCCAATTATCTTCTCAAATATCAACTGGCCTTGTGACCTGCCTTGGCCAACACATTCAGTGGAAGTGATGCTACTTGATATTTGTGCCCAGCCCTGGGGAGTCCTTATGGCATCTCTTCCATTGTGGTGGAATCCGGCCCTGGAGACCTCTGTGTGAGGAAGCTGGTTAGCCTGTTGGAGGGTGAAAAGCCACTCCAAGAGGGATCAAGGTGCCTCAGCCAACAGCCTATACCAACTTCCAGATGTGGGGGTGAGACACTCCTGGGCCTTCCTGCCCAGTCAACCCAGCTGAAATTAATATACAACAGAGGCCAACAGAGAAGCTCACAGAACTGGAAAATTTCTGCTTCGTGGTTTGTAACCCAGGAAAGGCTGATGTAATATGAGTCCTGATTTCTAAATGATAAACCCATTTCTCCCGCTCTCTAAACAGTGGTGCCCTCCCTCCTGATTCCAAATTATCTGTTTCCAACTGTAGATGCAAAGGAGAAGTCGGACAAGATTAGTGATTCATAGCAAGGCCTCTATGTGTGACTCTGTCCACACCTGGATGAAAGGGCATCATCAGGGTTGTACTTTCTTTTTTTTTTTTTGGTACTGGGGATTGTGTAACAGGGCTTCACTTGATGCTTTGACTATATCCCTTGTGGCTTCGAAACTTACATTTCTTTTTTCTTTCCCCTAAACTTCTTCTACATGATCTTCTTTTTTCTGATCTTCTCTTTCCTGATCTCTCCTCCTTAATCTCATTTTCTATGAATCACCTCTATAAAAGCCCCCTGCTCTTGCAGATAGGCAGAATCACAACCTTTGGGACAGGAGTTCCCTGTGTTTCTCCTTTGCTAGAAAAGCCAAAACCTTCTTTTTCCTTTTTCTCAAGATTGTCTTCGTTATTGGATTGGCATCAAGGATGAGGACCAAGCTTTAGGTTACATTTGAACCCAGGAGCATTTTAACACTGAGCCACATCTCCAGCCTTTTAAAATATTTAAAAATTTTTTTTTTAAATTTTGAGACAGGATCTCACTAAGTTGCTTAGGTACTCACTAAAGTACTGAGGCTGGCTTTGAATCCTCCTGTCTCAGCTTCCCTAGCTGCTGGGATCAATTGCATGCACCACTGTGTGGAGCTTTCACTCTTGCTGAAAGGTGTCCATACTTGCTCACCTAGAACACAGGCTCCCAATGTAGAAGCTGGAGGCAGTGTCACAACCTGTTTCACACCTGCCCCCACCCCCCACCCCGCCAGCTAGCTGCAATTCTTAAACTTGAAGAGCAACTCTGGATTTTTGTCTCATAAAAAGCTTCTTTCTATGACAGGTATATATTCCAGAATCTCCTTCACATGTATACACGTTGGCCTATCCAACTGCAGCAATGGTCTCTGCAGCACAGTTTATATCCAAAAAGAAAAGTATGGGGGAAGGAGGAGACAGAAAGAGAGAGAGAGCAAGGGAAAGAGCAAGAGCAAGAGCGAGATAGAGAAACAACTTGGAAAAATCCCAAATGCCCAGCAGGAGAATGAATAAGTATTTACAAAATAGAATATGGTACAGGTAAAAAAAAATGGATGAACAAGAGCTACTTGTTAATACATAGCTAAATCTCAAAATAACATCATTGAGTAAAAAACATGAAGTTGTAGTTATATAACATACATTACTATTCACATAAAAGTTAAAAATATGCAAAACACCACCAGATAGTCTTTAGGATACAGTGACAGGTAGTAAATGTATAATATATGCAGAGAAATGTTAAACAACACAGTCAAAAGAGGAGGCTGGGGAATAGGGTTGGAGAGGGGTAAACAGGAATTTCATATGTACCTCAATGATTTGAAATTAGTACAAGAGCTGGCCACAGTGGTGCACACCTGATTCCCAGTGTGAGCTCAATACATGATCCCTGAGGAAGTGCATGGGTTTGGCAGGACTTCTTGCACCAATTATGCCCTTGTGCCCATTGGTCTTTCATCAGCCTTTGCTGCTGCTGTGTTTAAGTTCAAGGTGGAATCTCAGTGAAGAGCACGGGAACTGTCTGCTCATACAGGCAGGTTAGAAAAGCCCATGCAGAGGCTGCTTCAGGAAGGGGATGGGTGGTTCATGGAGAAGGGAAAGGAGGACTAGGGCGAGATCTGGGAAGTATATTTCAAGGAAGCAGTAAACAAAATGATACTCGCAGCACAAGAGCTCTAGAACCACTTTTGTGTAAACAGGCAAGTATAAGCCCCTGAAATGGAGAAGTAGCAATGGGAATTGCACTAGCAAAAAGAGTTCTCTAACACTCATCGGAGTCAACGCCATGGTACGCAGTGTCTGTCCACCAGCAGATTGCTCATGGAAGCTGGCTTCAATATTTACTGACTGTGTGACCCTCGGCAAGTTATTTAACTCTCTAATCTCTGCTTCCTTATCTCTAAATTGTGGGGATAATAATAGTATAATACAAATACAGCTGGGCTGCCTTGATTGAAGTTCAGTTCAGGGTAGCTTCCATCCAAATATGCAGTTCAAAAAAAAAAAAAATCTTGATGCTAGGCATAGTGGTGCATGCCTGTAATCCCAGCAACCAGGGACACGGGGGCAAATGATTGCAAGTTCGAGGCCAGCCTCAGCAACTTAGCAAGGCCCTGAGCAATTTAGCAAGACCCTGTCTCAAAATGAAAAATGGAAGGACTAGGGATGAGGCTCAGTGGTTAAGCACCCCTGGGTTAAATCCCCAGAGCCAAAAAACAAAAACAAACGAACAAAAATCTTGAAAAGAAATGTAAATGTATATAGATCTTTACCAAAGTAGCAGAGGGGGCTACTGAGTCAAACCGTCAAAATCCCCTAAATGTCCTCTTTACCCTAGAGCCCTGTCCTCAGAGCTGTTCCTCTCCCAAATCTCTTCTCTCTCTTTTCCACATCTCTGTCCTGGGCTGGCTCCTCCTCTCTCACCTCCACTTCCCTTTGGACCCCTTTTTTGCCCTCTGGATTAGTTGCCTTCTTCTGGGAGAAGTTCCATGGCTCTTTGAGACATATATCGGGCTGCACATAGTGGCACATGCCTGTAATCTCAGTGACCCAAGATGCTGAGGCAGAAGGGCTACAAGTTCAAGGCCAGTCTCAGAAACTTAGTGAGGCCCTAAGCAACTCAGTGAAACCCTGTCAAATAATAAACAAATGGACTGGGAATGCAGCTCCATGGTAAAATGTCCCTGGGTTCAATCCCCAGTACCAAAATAAAATAAATAAAATGTGCACCAATTTAGCCTTTAGGCCCCTTTCATTCCTCAACTTCACTAACGATCACAGAAAAGGGCCTGCAGTCCAGCAGGCACACCTAAAATCCACTTTGGAAATTGGGTAAGGAAATTTGGAAATTGGCTATTGAAGCAAGGTGACTCTCCATGCCAATAACCCTTGTCCCTGTTACCATTATTGTGAGGTTAGATGACCTAGTGCATGAACACATAATTAATCCCCAACTGTTAGTGGTTATCCTTTTTTTGTGTGTGTGTAGGAGGGTGAGGGTTAGGGTTAGTGTGCTGGGTATTGAAATCAGGGGAATTTTATCATTGAGCCGTATCCCTAGCCCTTATTTTTTTTTTTATGTTTTATTTTGAGATAAATAAGTTGCTTAGGGTCTTATTAAATTGAAAGTTTGAGGCTGGCCTCAAATTTTCAATCCTTTTATCTCAGTCTCCCAAACTGCTGAGATTGTAGGCGTGTACCACTGTACCTGGCATGTCAGTGATTATTATTATTAGAATCATCCATCAACCTTAGTAGCTGTAGTATTTCGGTATTATTTATTTATTTGTTAGTATTATGTATTAGTAGTATAATACTAATGATAGTCTTTAGGATACAGTCACAGGTAACAAGAGAGTGAGAGAAAGAGCAAGAGCAAGCACACTTTATTATCTCTTGGGATTTGATTTACTTTATTCGCATTCCAGAAACATTGACCAAAAGTTTAACAGGAAATTCTAAGTCCTATTGTGGTCCAAAGGTTGCGGAGCATTGCCCATTTGGGATGAGCCACCATCTGCCCTCTCCCATCTGTGACAAGGCACGTTGCTATAGTCAGCTCATGAAGATGTGAGGGAACTGCTGGGCTTACCTTTACTCAGATGTGCCCTTGTGTGCTCACCAGAACTCCAGGGGGTTCCATTTTTTTGCGGCTCCACATGGACCTTCTTGGGAAGCTCAGCATCTATTCTACCTGGGTTACCCTGGAGGTAGCCCTTGGGAGAGGAACCTTGTCCTATGGCCACCTTACTGGCCTGTCCCCAAAACTCAGCAGACATGAAGGGACAATCATGAGACCATCCCTAAATGACTGACTTCGGCTGTGTACTTTAAGGACACAGACAAATGGCCATGTGCTCCCAGGATGGCCAAGGGGTCAGCAGCCAGGGCCTGCAGAGATCAGCTCTGAGGACCACAAATGATTAACCTGGATAAAAGAGGTCTTGGAAGGAGAGGGACCTCCCAGAATGGAAGGGCTGTCCTGTAACAAGATAGCCCACTCTAGGGCTCCTCAGGAGACCTGGAGACTAAGGGCAGAGCCACAAGGGGGCACTATAACGTCAGAGCAGTATGTTGGGGGACACGCTTTTGCCAGGTCAGTGGGGGAATGTGTGTACACATTACTGGGTGGGGCCAGCACCGCCAGGGCCACTGACGCATATTTAGCAACAAATCTAATAGTTACTGGCATTTGCAATGTGTCAGGCCCTGTTCCAAGGCCTTTACATGCAATGACTCATTTAAGTCACAGTGACCCATTGGAGGAGGCACTATTCCCAGTTCACAGAACAGAGACTGACGCACAGGAAGATGATGCCAAGACTCTACAGCTAGTACCAGCAGGACCCAGGCAGAGCAGCGTGTGGCTTCGCAGATGCCAATCTCAATTTAACCACCACAGCCACTCTCCTGCAGGCAGAGTACAGGAAGGCCCGAACAGGGCAGGGCTTCTCAAACCTTAATGAATCTCTTGGAGATCTTGTTACAATCCAGGTTCTGACTCCATGGGTCCTGGGCTGGTCTGGGCTGGGGCCTGAGATTTTGCATTTCTGCCAGTGTTGCTGGTCCATGGACCATACTTAGAGTAGCAGAAGTCTAGAGGCCCACAGAATCCTTTTACCTAGGTAAGTCCTTGAGTCCCAGTGGTATCCAGGAGAGTGTCACCTCCTGGATGGCAGGAGGAAAGAGAGCAGAAGAGCCTGGCCCTGCAGAATCTTCAGGTCCCCAATAGTTGACTGGACCTCCTAGGTGGATAGAGATCCAGCCTGCCAGCTTCCTCTCTCATAGCCTGGAAAGGTATCCTCATCTCTTACTCAATAACCTAGGAGGAGAGGTATGAGATGTGTGATGGCCCCCAAACACACACCACACACACACACACACACACACACACACACACACACACCTTGATGAGTCTGGCAGGTGAGATCTTTCCAGGGGCTGGGCACAGTACAGCTGGTGACCTTGGCTACACAAGGTGAGTGGGAGAGAAGGTGGCATCCTAGGAAGTGGGAACATATTTACCATGGGTCCTGCTGTGGTTGCAAATCCATTCCCTTCTCTCCATCCTTGCTCTGCATGGATGACCAAAGGGCCTCTGGATCTGAAGCCTGCTTCGATCCTTGGAGGACTCCCACACTGCTTCCCCAGATCCTTATGAAACAAAACATCATTATCACCCTCTCCTTAAACTCTCAGTACGATAACATATTTCCATTTTTAAAAAATCCATCAATTCCCTGTTACCTCAATTTAAACTACTCACTTTCCCTACAAAAAGAGTTATCAGAGTAGGCCCCACTGCTTTTTCACAGAAAGGTCTGTTTACAAGCTTGGCCTTTGCTGGTATCTGGGAACTTGAATTTCAGGAGAGTTCTCACCATTCACTGATAAGAGTGACTCAAGTGTTTGTACAAATATTATGGTTGATGCTTAACACCTGCTTTCCTTCAGGGAGACTGGAATTTAGGCAATGCCAGACAAAGGGGATCTATGTGAGCATTCCTGCATTAGTCATTGTTCTTCAGAGAAACAGAACCAACCAGAGATATATATGAAGAGAGAGAGAGAGGTAGAGAGACAGACAAAGAGACATAGAGGTGGCTAGCAAGGTCAAAATTAGTAGGGCAGATTGGCAGGCTGCAAATTCAGAGTTGCAGTTTTGAGCCCAACTTCTGCAGGACAGCAGGTTGGAAACTCCAGCAGGGGTTCCCCTCTCATTCATACAGAAACCTCAGACTTTGTTCAGTTGATTGGATGAGACCCATGTACATGATGGAGAGTCATCTGCTTTACTAGAAGCCTATTGATTTAAATGTTTCTCTCATCTGAAAACAAAAAGGAAAATACAGCAACATCTAGGCTGGTATTTGACCAAACATCCAGGCACCATGGCTCAGCCAAGTAGACATATAAAATAAACCACCACAGTCCCCCATTAGGATCCTGGGCACCTTGTCTTCAGTAAGCTTCCTTGGTGGCAGCAGTTCTCATGCATTGTTGTATCTCATGGCTGGGGAAATTGGTTCCACTCCTCTGGGAGAGAACACTGAGGATTATCAAAAGGAACAATGGCCTTGCATCTGTTCCCCCAGATTTCACCCCATGTATCTTTTCCCTTTGTTGATTCTGCTTTGCATCTTTCTGCTGTAATAAATCATAGCTGTTAAGTCCTATCAGTCCTCTTAGTGGATCATCAAAACTAGAGGTGTTCTTGGGGACTCCTGACTCACCTTTGGATGCTCTGATCTGGACCTGGCCAGCCTCTCCAACCCCAGAATTTGTCACATACCCCTCATACCCCTCATACCCCAAACTGAGCCACCTACCCAGTACCTGAATACACTGCACCATCTCAGGCTTCCATATGGGGAATGCCTTTCTTCTCTTGGCCTGGCAAGTTCCATGCAAACATCAACACAGCCTGTTGTGGTTACCTAGTGCCATGGAACAATTCATCCCCAAACTAAGAAGCTTAAGACATCAAGGATTCATTATTGAATGGACCTGTGGATTGTTGAGTCAGAGAGTTCCTCTTCCCATGGGGTTGGCTAGGGCCTTAGGGTAGAAGGTTCTAATGATCCCACCCCACAGAGGTAGCAGTTGGTGCTGGCCACCAGCTCTTAGCTTAACTGAGGCTAATGGCCAAGGGCAATTTTTTTCCATATGGGCTTTTCCACATGGCTGACTGATTTCCTCAGAGCACCATAGGAAGGTTCTGAGAAAAACTCTTCTGAAAGGGCGAGCCTGGGTGTGTAACCTTGCATCATCCTCACTGATGTCTCCTTGATGCAAGCTGAAGTGTAGCCAGGCACAGAGCCATCAGGGGAGGAGATGGCTGGAGATGCATACTGGAGGGTGTAGCTCACTGGAGGCCACCAAAGCACAACCCCTCCCATCAGGGTGCTTACCACACTAGGATGAAGTAGACTGGTTAACTGTTATTAGTACTGTGTTGTATTGTCACTTCTATTTATGGGCTGGGGCTCTCAGGGGTCGACTCTACATACCTCATTTCTCCCTGGGTCCCATTCCTGGCCGAGTCTGCTGGAGGGATGAATGATGGAATGAAAGCAACAACAGTCACCACCTCCTTCGTATCCACCCCATCCCTGTGTCCTGTGGAGTTAGGAAGTCCAATTGCTGTGAGATGCCAAGTACACTAAGCTCCCTAAAGCATGTGAGGTCCTATGCATAGTCCCTGGCAGACAGGAAGCACCTAGCAAACATTAGTGGAATGAATAGATGAGTGGGTGAACTTTCTAGGTAATCACTGAAATTTCCAAGTTATAAATGCCTCAGTTTCTTTCTTACACATTGTGGTCAAGGTGAGCAGAGATCACACAACCCTACAGACCCCAGAGAGAGCAGTTTTATCAAGGTTGTCAACCGGAGAGATTTTCAGTGTTCTCCTCTCTGATTGTGGTCCCCAGGAAGGACAGCTTCCCATGCTGAGCTGTGCTTATGTGGCTGGAGGCTCCCCACGAATCCATCCTCTGCTCCTCTGTTGCCCTGGTTCTGAGCAGTGGCTCCTAATGTAGGCTCCGTCTCATTCTATAAATAGCCACAGACACATCTTCAGTGGTAACACTTGGGAGTGGGGAAATCCATGGCCAATTTAGCTTCGCCCTATTGCAAAATTCTGACATCACAAGAGAACACAGAAGTGAATCATCCCTGTATAAATACTTTGATTAGATCATTTGCTTTCAAGACTTAAAAAAAAAAAAAAGGCAGAGAAAAAACGTGGTGTTCTGTTCCACTGTAGACAGGCACAGTAAGGTTGATTACCCACCCTTCCATATGTGAGCCCCTTCTCAGCTGTGAGAATAACTTATTCATTTTTTTTTGATATGAAGATTGAACCCAAGGGAGTTTAACCACTAAGCCACATCCCCAACCCTTTTTATTTTTTTTATTTTGAGACCGGGTCTCACTAAGTTGCTTAGAGCCTTGCTAAGTTGTTGAGGCTGGCCTCAAACTTGTGATCCTTCTGCCTCAGCCTCTTTAGTCACTGGGATTACAGATGTGTACCACTGTGATGGGTGAGAATAATTTATTCTTAAAACCACATTCCTCTAGGTTCCATCCTTTGGAATGTTTTACCCCCTTTGGATCTTAGTTAAAACAATACAAATAAAAGGTCTTGAGTAATAAAATAAATAAAAGATTTTTGTGTTTTTTTTAAAGGTTTTGCTTTGTTTCATTTGATGGAAGGATTGACAGTATTACTTTTGACAGGTAAGCTCCCTAGATACATTTCATACTCCCTGAATACATTTAAATTAAATCCATCCCGCTCAGGGGCCACAAACTGGTTCCATTAGCTGAAGTTAGCCTGCCCTGCCTGTGCAGGGGACAACACAATGTGAACAACACAATGGTTTCAATTTAAATTGTGAGCTTCTATAGGTTAGCTACAGCTTGTTCTCTAGTTCCCCACAGTTACTACCACAGCCTAATGTCTTACACACAGTTATGTACCTGCGGGACCTCTGTGGTCATCTGAGTTTCCAACCTCTAAGTTCTACTTATTTTACAAACAGGGGAACTGAGACCTAGTAAAGAAAATATGCTCAAGGATGTAGATCCTGGAGGTTGAAGGGCTCAGAAGCAGCTCCTTCAGCCTTCTGGCACCTGGATCCTTCCTCTCTGCTCACTGAATCTACACGCCACTTTCCCAGGCTTTGGCTACAATGATAAATGTGTGTGCAATTTCAGCAGACACCATAGAGCAGGCCGCTGTTTGCCTGGGTGGATTTTGTAATGACAGCACTTGCGTAATGGCAAGTTCTGTGACTTTCCTCTTTCTTTTCTGCCCTCCCATTCCTCAGGGCTCCACAAACCTCACACTCCTCGGTCATCAGGCAAACCTCAGCAGGGAAGGAGGGACATTTTCATTCTTCTGCCTATTGCTGCTTCTCCCTTCCTATCAAATGGCTCTGGGTGGAACCTTTTCCATTCAAAATCCACACAGGAAATGTTTCAGATGGTGCAAAGGGGTTTCTTTTTTCTTTTTTCCTGAAAAAAATCCTACTTGTTATTCAGGACCCCCGAGTGTTACCTCCAGCGTGAAGCTGTATCTGTCCCTTATTTTGCTATTTGTAGTATGTACCCCAGCATGTGTTCGTCTTTGCCCTATGCCTTATCATCCATGCCTTTATCTCCCCTTCTTGACTCTCTCCTCTAGATCTGTGGTTAGTGAATTGAATCGAGAGGATTGAAGTTCATCCAAACTTCCTGAGAATGGCTACATCCACAACTTTCTACAAAACTGCAATATGTATAGATTTGGATTTTCTCTTAAGGAAAACAGATCAGCGTGTATAGAGGCAAAGGAAAAGCTTCCTCTTCGTCCTCTGAAGGTTTGCTGAAATGAATGGGTAACAGATCGGTAGGAGAAAAAGGCATACTTCTTTCCTGAATGTGCTTGGGGAACATAGGGAGTACAGTTACTTAACAGCCCAGCCAGGTTTAGATGCTTCAAAGCCTTTATAGGGCAGAAGGAGATGGGGGAATATAGGTAATTGGGGGCAGATGACAAGGACACGATTTTGATCTCTTCTTTTGGAAAGGAAAGGGGATCAGGATGCAAAAAGATCCAAATGGTCTCTACTGTCCAGGACAACACTGCCTAGTTTGTCGAGGGTCCACTTCAGGGGCAGTGATGCAGAGGAGGGGGAGGCTGGGGTCTGGAGAGTAGTGACTCACATGGGAAGCGGGGCCTGGGTTGCCCCAGAACTCAGTGATCCTCTTGGTATCGGAGTCCAGCAGTGCATTTAGGACAAATACAAGGAAACCTGGGGGCAGAGGCAAGAAGATTCCAGAGGGCTCACACAAACAGCAACTCTCCCCAGGAAGAGAGTGTCACAGGAAGAGCTGGGAGCATCTGAGCTTCCAGGCATTGGACATTGTACCTGCGGGACCCCTGTGGTCATCTGAGTTTCTAACCTCTAAGTGTGAGCCACATTTACAATGTGAGCCACACGCCCACTTTTATATTTGTATGAGTCACATAATGTGAGCCAAACGCATTACTTTTACTGGGAACCAGCACTGCATTAGATATTTCTAATGCTTGTTGAATTTAAATTTTTTTTCTAGCCTAAGTAGTAACTAAAGTCTTTGAGAAAAATTTCAACTTCCCAGTATGTGTGAGCCACACGCACACCTTTATATTTTCTAATTGTCACATTAAAAATGTACAAAGGTGAAAATAAATTACATAATATGTCCAAATACTTCTAACATTAAATGTCATGTATTTAGGAATATACCCTCTATATCCAAAGTATTACTATCTTGCTATGTAATTTATGTAAAAATTGTTAATGAACTATTTCACGTTTTTCCATCTACGTCTTCCAGTCTAATGTTTATTTTATAATTACACCACA